TTCTCAAGAGAGTGACAAATGATGAAAACGAGCACTACTCTTTTTTAAAGGGAAAATTAGCATAATATGAAAGAAAATTCGAAAGTACAAAAACGAGCAAGCCAAACAAGAGCACCTGCCAACCATTTGCCATTAGTGCTTGTTTCATCGTGATTTCATACACATCCCCTATTCTTTTTCCCATTTCAGGTGACTGACTGGTTCTTAAAGCTCTTTCCGACTGAACACGGTGTGACTAGAGGACGGGTGGAGCATAAATGTAAGAAGGCTGTGGAAGGGATCAATGCTTTGACTTTGTCCGATCGAGAGGCCTACTTGGACACACAGGTTGTCTTCCCTAATGAAGTGCCAGAGTCTCTTTTACAACTGGATCTGACAAGGAAAATCCTCCAGACAGCCTGCCCTAATGATTTCGTCATTTTTCAGGACAGGCCCATAATTTCAAATGAAGTTGTTCTTTCTCTTGAATCATTCTGTATAAAAGAAAACATGCCACTGACAACAGTTTATAGCTGGATGGGCAAACTTACCAGTACAACTTTGACAGAAGCTCAGATAAGAAACAAAGTTAGTATAACTTGTAAAACTGGGAAGAAACTAAAAAAAGGCAGTAAAGCTAAAACACAAGAGTTTTTGTGTAAATCTTTTCTCCAATCGACTACAACTACAAATACAACTGAATTACAAGAGTAAGTCTCAGTGAAAGATCATGACGAGCTGAAGCAAAGCTTTGGGCATTGTAGAAGTCAAATTAACACCTTGAGAAATGAAAACAATACAAAGTTGAAGAAACAAAAGTGCTTGTTGAAGAGAAAAAAGTGTTTGTTGAGGAAAAAAATATCTTTTGAGTCTTGAAAATGCCAAATCAGACAAAGAAGTCAAACTCTTAGAAAAAACAAACAAACATCTAGAATCCGAGCTTCAGCCACCGGTATGGGGCACTCTGGATTGTGTAACTTTTCAGAATTTATGAACATTCCTTCGTTGCACCAAAAAACGTACCAAGCTCATACTAAGTCATCAGTAAAAAGTGTGAGACATTTTCAAGGGAGAGCCTTTCCACAGCAGTTAAGAGAGTAAAGGAAGTTTATAAAGAACAAACTACTGCAGTAAAAGATATCCACGTTTCATTTGATGGTAGTTGGCATAAAATGGGCCACACGTCAAAATCGGGAATTGGCCTCGCTATAGAGAGAAAGACTGGTTTGATTGTTGACTACAAAGTGGTAACAAGTTACTGCCCCATTTGTTCCACCACAGGGAAGAAACTTCAGAAGGAAAACATTCTGAAATATGAAAGGTGGCAGGCACTTCATAAGCCATACTGCGGTGCAAATTATGAAGGCCGTAGTGGGGCATGGAGAAAGAAGCTGCTCTTAGAATCTGGAGCAGGTCAATACTGAAAAATGGTCTCCAATACATATCGTTGATTAGCGACTGCGACGTAAAAACCATTCCAGAAATTCATGCTCTGGACCCATATCCCGGCACATCGGTAGAAAAACACGAATGCGTAAACCACGTCGGCAAGCGCCTCAGCACTGCACTTTGCAATCTCGTGTCTGAGAAGTCCAAGCAGAAAATAACTCTCGGCGGAAAGGGACACGAGATACTACGTTCCGACGTGATTACTCAGCTCCAGGGCTATTACACGAAAGCAATTAGGAGCAATGCAACTGTGCCTGAAATGATGGCCATCGTGGACCACTTCCTCCACGGACAACGAACCTCACCAAGAAAGCAAAAGGGATACCTCTTGGCTCCCACATGGAAAACATAGGGACTCCCCTCTGCAAGCTGGTGGCTGATCATGTGAGACCCATTTTTGAGCGAATGTCGTCGGATGCTTTGCTAAGCAGATGTGTTCTTCAAAGTACCCAAAACGCTAATGAGAGCGCCCATGCTACTCTCTGGGCTCGCTGCCCTAAGCACCTATTCGCCAGCCGGGATCGCCTTGGTATTGCAGTTGCTCTTGGAGTTGCGGAATTCAACTTTGACTCAACATCGTCACGCAAATTCATGCAGGCACTCGACCTACCTGTTGGTGCTGAAACAAAGAAGGAAGAGGGGGAGGAAGCGGGACCACACCAGGACAGTGAAATCTGAAGCAGCTGTTACTTTAAAAGCAAAGAGACATAGACAGCTCAGAGCAGAAGCTAAACAACGAGAGGAGCAAAGGCTGTTGGAGAAATATGAACAATTTTATTCCTCTGGTTGGGGAGATTGAAGTTCAAGTGTTGGTAGGGGTTTTTTCCTTCAATTTTTTGGTGGGGGGTTAGTCAGAATTTCTTTGATTAAAAATGTCCAATATCCTCTTGAGTCACAACCTTTATGTACACAGTTTGAATATGCCTGTGGTTGATAAATAGTACTGTTTTTTCATGATAACTTTGTAAAATGATGATGATTTTACTATGCAAAATCTTTTTCTGCGATTTTCTCAGAAAATTTAGCCCATAAATATAGCATTTAGGTGTTGACCATAGTTCCATCCCCTTAAAAGAAAACAGAAACAACAAATATCCTCTTGAAGTGAGAAAGACGTACATGGCATTGCAGGGTGAAGGTGTTGCTGCGAGCAAATGTAGTGAAGTTGTTTGTATAGTAAGTGAAGGACTGTCTGACAAAAAGGTGAAACGTCTTACATGTGTCCAATCCGCACTTAATTTTGTAGATCAAGGCCACTGTATTGCAAAGTATCAAGTTGCAGAAAAAATCCTTCAGAGCAATCATGCTACATATGCCAGTGATGGGACCAGCAGGTCCAAGCTGCATTATATGGAGCGGCATGTAGTCCTAGATGATGGGTCTGTATACTCTTTGGGGTTCATAGAAATAGCAACTGATGATGCTAAGTCTATGCTGGAGCAGTCAGTACATGTTTTGGGAGAGCTGACTCATTTGTATTGTACCAGTTGTGAAGGTGAATCAACTTATGTTGAAAAGGTTAAGACTCTGTTTGAGGTTCTGACAAAGACCAAATCCCTCATGTCAGACAGAGCGGCAAACATGAAGGCATTTGACCGTCTCTTTTCTGAGTACAAATGTGAAAAGGTTGGAACAACTGAACCTAGCACATTGTTTCTATTTTGTAATGCCCACTTCTTGCTGGGCCTTTCTTCTGTAACTGAAAAGTCTTTAAGATTTCTTGAGGATGAGTTGTTGCAATCTTCCACTCTTGGCTATGACAATCCTTTATCAAAGGAGCTTGTCACACTCTGATTGATCCGCTGTGCTGCAGATGTTTTTGGACCCAGGGGTGATGAGAAATGTGGCTCATGCCAAGAGTGGTGGGCATTTTGTGACAGCAAAGGTGTAAAATCTACTTTCACTAGCTACAGAAGCAACCGCTTCAACAATTTGTTTGAGAATGCCTGTGCTGTGTTATTTCATCGTTTGCACATTGTGGACTTTTTGTCTCTAACTTTTGTTCTCATTTTAATCAGAAGCTGGTTTCTGTCCTTGCAGATGTTAAGGACAAACATGTTTTGTCAATTGTGTCAGCATTAGTATCCTTCCATCACATTGTCACTGGACCGTACTGGATGATGAACAGCAGAAAACTGTATGGGGCTTTTCCAAAGTATGTTCAATTGATGGAAATTGCATTTACCAATATTGAAGACCAGTCTGATTCAGTACGGCCAGATGATCTCCCATCAGTGTTTGAAGATTTCAAATTTATCACCCATGATGTGGCCTGTGACCTCCATGCATTCACTTCTTCTGACATGTGTGTCGAAGAATGACAAAGAAGAGCATTTGTCAGTGTTGTTTCCCATTCTCATGTTGTTTTGAAGAAACAACTGAATGAATTTCTTGAGGGTGGTATGTTTGGAGATGACATTGATGGAGAACTTCTTGAAATTCTGAATAAATGCCCACCTGACCGGCGAGCAAATTTTTGGAAATTTGGATTTTGACATGAGTAAACGTAGACGGTGCACAACACACCACAGGAGTACAATCAGTATGTGGAAACACAATGTCACAGCTTGGCTGAATACAAAAAGTAGGGAAGAACAGGAAAAAATATTTCATCTTGCACAGAAAAACAGTAAATTGCTCAGAAAAGAACACAAAGAAGCCGAGGCTCAAGAAAAGTTGAGAGCCATAAAAGGAAAGTTGAAGAAAATGATAGAAAAAGGAAAGAGAAAGATTTAAATGAAAAACACCAGAAGAATGACATTCTTGACTCTATCTTAGCAAAAGGGTTTTGTCAAACTCAAAAGGAGCTGGACCATTTGCACAAATTTGGCAAAATTGAAGACCTTAAAAATCAGATCAGGTACAGAAAAATAACAGTTCCTAGGAGTATTACACAAGCAAGACGCAGCTATCAGGTAGGAAACCATGTTGTATTGCCAAAGTATGCTTTGTTGTGGTTGCTGTGCATGTGTGTACTGTGTTTTGCCAATTCTAGGGCACCAAAATGGTCAAAAAACATTGTGTAAACTTGAAACCCTTTTTCTCAGTTTCGCGTTTTCTAACCCTGTCCGACAAAAATGCTACAGTGGAACTCGGATTCAACGAGGTTGCCGGGCCTGACCTAAAATCTCGTTGAATCTGAGTGTTCATTATAGCAAACATGAGGTTTTGTGCAGATAATTACAGGCACTGAGCAAGTAATCATGTATAAAGAGAAGTCACAAGTAGTGCCTGAAATGCCTGCATATTATGAGATGTGTGGAAAAAAAAGACTGATTCGTTCAAATGCACTCCTGTGTCATCTCGATTGTTTACCACAAAGTTGTGTTGCTGTGTAGAGCCTAGCATAAGGGCAACTTTTGATTTCATAGACAAGCGCACAATTCATTACGAATATCTACGACAAGACTAGCTTATCATTGTGTAATAATGATCAGTTGCCGAGGGGAAAAGAAGACTGTGACGTGTTTGTATCTGCGACGTTCAATGCCTGGACCACTAGTGCCCCCCCCCCAATCCCCGACACACACACACAGCCACACGTGTGCAGGCGGCCCATCCGACCCCGACACACGCCAGAGTAGTTGCGAGTGCCGTAAAACCCTCTACTATTAAAAAACCCCCAAAAAAACCCACATTCGATGAAATGCAGTCTCATCCTATTCATGTTTGGCAACATAAATCCTTTCCCAATTGGTGTCAAACAACTTTGTGGCTGTATAGACAAGGAAATAGCACAGCAGACAGTAAAACACTGTTGACTTTCACACATCAACTGCCTCCACTGATAATTAAGTACCCATCTACAACTTAGTGAGCTCTGGACAGTTGACCTCAGACTTGACTCTCATCTCTCTTGTCTCTGCTGCACCATCGAGCCGTCTAGATGAGAAGAATTGTCCCCCCCAGCAAGCGATGACAACGAAGTCCCAGAACAAAGACTCTCTACGCCACTCCGCATCTGGCACAGCGTGATGAATGAGGTCTGCACCGAGGCTGTCAGGCTCTTCATCTCAACCAGCAGGAAGTCCTGTCAACGATACAGACACAAATACAGTGGAGGCCGCTTAAATCAAATATGATTAATCCGAAAATAGTGGTAAAACAAAAGAAAATAAAACCCCCCATATTTTTTTTCTCTATTATTTGAGCTGATGACTACTCCCATATAATTACAAATGGCATTCTGTTTTTATATGGCTTTGCATTTCATTCATTTTCTCTTTTTTCAGTTGGATTGAAATTTCATGTTTACAGAAGTATGAGATCATGTCTCGATACAAATTTTTAAAATCCAGAATACATCATATGTCTCAAAAAAGGCACAAAAATAGAGTGTTACCACGGAATGTTCACTTTACTTTTCAGACTCTTTCCACAGCCTGTCATAGTGAATGTTTCACCCCACCATCGACGTAATTTAGATAATTTAAGAGATGGGCTGCTTTGATCTGAGCTGAGATGTGCAAACTGTCCCTGTTGAGAGACTAAAATACTCTATTAAAAAAATCTCTAAACAGGAGGTGAACTTGCATCTTCAGATCACCACCACCAAGAGCCTAACTGCTACACCAAAGACACTGATAAATATGACACACAGCGAAAACAACTATAATTCAAAGAGACTGCACACATGAAAGTTTTTCTCCAGACTTTGCCTGCCTTACCAGTTGTGATGCTGACAAGTCACTGTGAGACGCCCAGGTAATGTTATCTAAGTGAGAGCTCACATCATTTAGGGTTGGCACAAGTAACGAGAAAACTTCTTTCGCATATCTGAAAGAAAAATAATAACGAAGTAAGTAAGTTTATTCAATGTTTAAGGCCATTGGCCCACATCACATCATGTCATATAAAACACTCATTTGTTAGAAAAAGTTTCCACAATGAAAAAGTACATATTGTGCACATACCTCTTATCATGGGTCAAACATTGAATATTTCTGTCACTGGGCAGAGTCAGGCTGGGAGGAATTAACAATTTAATTTGATGGACAAAATTTGGACAATAGAAAATAAAGTGAAATTCATCTTCAATTTCATGAGTTATCCCTCTCACATGAGGGTGAATTTATCAATTTCCAACAATAAAGATTGTTATTTAATGGAAGGCTATGAGTTTTTAACAGAGCTAACAATATAAAATTTTCAAATAATGTAAAGTCACAACTGATCAATGATTGAAAAACCCATATTGCCAGAATATATTTGAGAATGACATCATCAACAATACAGAGCTCATTTTGAGCTTGGGTAACAAGTTATATATTAAGACAGACAGACAGACAGAAAGGATAAAAGGTTTGGAAAGATGTTGAATCTACCAATTCTACACCCTTCAACCACTCACAAAGAAAAGCCAACATCATCAGTATATCAGATTTTCACAAAGTTATTTCCTGACCCAATGTCCAATAAATGTTACCCAGTGAACAGAGATAATGTACCTAAAGTCACAAGCCAAGAACTGCTCTAGTAAAAAGATATTTTAAGACGTTCAGAAATGGAATGGGACTAAGATATTCGTCTTTCTGCTAATAACAAATGTATTCAAAGTGAAGTTGAACTCATTACAACTATTTTACACCAATGGATGTATACGGTACCCATTACCTTAAGACAAAAGACACTCCTGTCATAAAGAAAATCAAATCATTCAACTCTTGCAATAAACTAATCTCTATCTTAAAAGGTATCTTGAAATTGTATTGTAAAATCAAAATATTCAAGTTCCCTCATAAATACATCGCGTTACTCAATTTAGTGAATCAGAACCAGCACCTGAAAGATGAACACATTTTTTCACATAAGCCAAAGTAAAACACTAAGCATACTTATGATAGGCAGCATCCATTTTGAATTTGATGTGATCTCCAACAAAAGGCTTCTGAAGACGATGCGTCAGGACACTGGCATTCTTTATGACAGAGTCAAAATCAGAACACAGCTCTTTCACCAAATTTATTCGCTTTTCTGAAGGAAAAGAAACAAACAGAAAAGAATTCAGCTGGCAGCAAAGACAGGGCAGTCATAGAAAAGAGTAGGGCTGTATTCATCTGGGAGATGTATATATTCTAAATCAGAAATCAGACTGAGAACACAAAGAAACAACTTCTTGTATCCTGCTCATCTTTGGCAATGGTCAACTCTCTCTTGAAAAGCTGTTGCCCGGTGTCTGACTTTCCATAAAATAAAAAGTTAAAGAGTCTCTTTCATATATATAAAAATTTGATACATATAAAAAAATGTTTGTTATCGCCAATAATTTTTTAAATTTCTAAAATGTTTCCAATTTCAACTTTAAACACACTGCAATATGATAAACAGATCACCATATATCTTACCAATAACATCCAGGTGAGTAAATGAGGCTGTTTCCTTTTCCAGGGTGTGTTGAGCAATGGTGTGCTTGGCCTGGAAGAAGTAAGTAAATGAATATTATTTTATTGAAAAAAAAAAAAAAATTTCCTGGAGGTTTCAAGATAATGCCATTATTTGAATAAAGACAGTAAGGGAATTCTTACAATATGATTTCCTGATTTGTTGTTTCCTTCCTATTTGTTAACTAAAAAATAACAAGCGCACAGATAATCGTTCTATTTTAGACACTCTCTTTTTCAAAAATTAGGCCTATCTCAAAAGTTCTTTTTTTTAAAGACTGGGGTATTTGTTGAATGATACTGATGACATACTTTTATGGAAACCCTTACATTCATGGTAGACTGTAAACTAGTCTTCTTCAAGATGCAAATGAATTGTGTAGACTGATGCCTCTCTCCTAGTGCAAAAAGAAATGCTTTCGATAAATGCATTTCCTCTTCTTAATACCACAAGGATACAATCAGCCAAAAAGATTTTTAATATAGCTTTTTTCCCCAAAATAAACTGTAGCCTACTTGCTGCGTAACTAGAAGACTCTTGACTGTTTATGAGAGAGCCTTTACATGCATGTGTTTTGTGACTGTCAGTGTTTTAATGCTATTCTTTTATTTCATTTCATGTTACAAAAGTCAGGGAAATCAGACTGCCAACATCTGCGGAGGAAGCATCAAACAAGTTAACTTTCATTTTAATCTAACCCCAACATAAATTAAAAGGAACTGTAACCAGCATAAATAGATAAAGGTACATTCGAACCTGCCCCCAGGCGACCACCTGTTGCCGAGGAGAAGAGTGGTCATCTTAGACAGGTTGTCCTCTTGGACAGTGTCATTATAGAAAAGAACAAGACGGGAACTGAGGAATGGTCGTTTATACAGAAGACTGTCTTGGACAGGTGGTCTTTAGAGTAGGTTTAACTGTACTAAAGAAAACATACACAGCTAAAAGAAAGAAAATGAGCATTACACCTACAATGGGAATGTGGCTTTGTGCATAACATCAGTTGCAATGCAGACTTAACTCTTTGGCTACCAAGGCATTTTCTGCGCTGTGACCAAGGCATTTCTTAGTCTTAGAATTTCTAAGAGTACCCCTGTTCTTCTTTTGTGTCTGATGGGCATAATTCCATCTGGAAGTCAGACATGTTATATACCAAAATTAAGGTAATTGAATGTAGAATATTCTTAATCTAATTAAAAAATTGAAAAAAATCATAAATCCAAACAAACACGGGACGTAAGTGAACACAAGGTGAAAAAAATTTAAAAATAAAAAAAATATTTTCAACTTACATTTCTCACAGTGTATAGCTGCTAAATCCAATCACTTCATGACTTGGTCATACTAAAGTATATCCAACTGTCTCTAACTGGGCCAAGTTTCATGCACAATGGTCAAGTATATACAAAGTTGTCGCACTTTTGGTGAAATCACTAACAATGAAAAAAAGAGAATAAAACGCTGCACACACACCCCTCTTTGTGAATCATCATTCTCATTGCTGTCGCTGCTGTCCGACTCAGGTCTAACTTCATCACCTCCTACATCACTATCGGAAAGTACTGACAGTTCCCCATCAAACTTTTCCAGGGCTTTTGAAGCAGAAAAACGTTGTGACGGGGGGGAACCTGATGGGTTATCAGCCATTTTGCCGTTGCTATGCGTGTAAACTAATTCGAGCAACACAGGGCGGGTAAAAAAAAAAAATGAAAAAATGCCCCAAAAACAGCAAAATAAAACACAAAAGGCGTTAAATTCCTTCACTGGTTGACTGATGTATGGTAAGCAGAGCAGTTAAAAACATGAAACAGAAAGGTTGAGTCAAATTGTGGAAAGGAAAGGGAAAGAAAAGCGCGAGCCGATAATTCAGCTCTTGGCCACGAACTAGGAAGTTATGGAGCCGATAGAACGGCTCATGGTAGTCAAAGAGTTAAGAAACTGCACTGAGTGGTCATCGTTGTGAGGTGTGTGTGTGTGTGTATTGGGGAGGGGAGGGGGGGAAGGAACAGAGTGAAGTAGAAAAAAACAACAATAAATACTGCTTCACCTTGTGAATTGCTTTCTTCTTGGAGGTTATTTCTTTTTGTTGGCCTATCAATCGAACAGATGGAAGGTCTGCCAGAGCCTTAGCGCACTGTGACTCATTTCCCTGGAGAAAAAGTTAGAAATTGATGGAGAACAGTCAGTAGACAGGACAAAACATGAATTACAATAAATTAAGAATCTTTATTTAAAGTCTTGTGTTTCAGACTTGGAATAAAAAACAAAGTATTCTGCAACAGTATGGTTTTACTATCAACATTGCTCTATTCAAAACTCCCTCTACTTTTTGCTGGATTTACTTTACTCTACACCTGTTGATTTTCATTTGAAGTAACATTATTTCAACAACAACTTAAATTAGGTTTCTTTTAAGTTAGTGGTTGGTGGATGATCTTGTGTAGCCTGTCCCTTCTATTTAACTATGGTAGCGTCAATTGCCATCGAGTGACGCGGTGGCAATTGACTTTATTAACGCGGTAGTGTCCATTGCTACCGAGTGACGCGGTGTCCAGTCTGAAAACAACGCTCTATCTTTATCTTTCAATTAATAATGTGTTACGAACACATGGATCTAACCCCCTCTCATAAGTTGATAAGTCATATAACAAGTAGTTACACACATTCTGGGGTTCGAAAGGAAAACAGTATAGGCCAATTTCCAAATGTTTTGTACTCAAATTCTTCTTTTTACCTGCACAATGGTATTCAAAACTATCTATAAACATATTTTTATCAGGGAATATCATTTTGCATAAATTCAAGCTCATTTGAAAGATTTTGTTTACAGTAAAATGAACGCCGTGTTTCCTGGCTATCCTTTCGAGCTCCTCACGTCTATGTGGGTCAATTTGTTTTCTAATTTCATTGGACAAACATCTAGAGCTACCAACTTCAACTTGGCGTGTTTTGAATGAGCCGTAGGCTAGCCTATGCTTCGGTGTAGAACCAATACAGGCGATTCTAGAAGAAGGCAACAAACGCACACAAACTCAAGCAGAAATACGCTTCTTATATGGAACATAAATCAGGGGGACAGGGGTTAGGGAGGGAGGGAGGGAGAGAGAGAGAGAGAGAGAGAGAGAGAGAGAGAGAGAGAGAGAGAGAGAGAAAGAGAGAGAGAGACACACAGAGAGAGTGAGGGAGAGAGAGAGAGAGAGAGAGAGAGAGACCAGCCCCCACACACAGAGGAGCAAAGAGAGAGGCGTGCATCGAAAGTTCACGAACGCAGAACACCAAGCACAAAAGAGCTCCAATTTACTCGGTGGCAATTGATGCTCGCGTCACTCTGTGGCAATTGACACTACCTTTAACTATATAGAGTAAAGTGCATAGAGCTTGCTGTCAAGAGGGGATATGCGTGATACAAATGCTCTTTATCATAATTATCATTTTGTTTCCCCCAAGAAAATATCATACCAATATACTGCCAGCTGAAATGTGGCTCACAGTAGTCATACTACCTCATCCAATGCTGCAAGTCAACAGCAGGTCTCTTTTGTGTTTTTGAAGATGTAACAGAACAATTAATACTATGAAACAAAATTCTTCCATAGAAAAATGCTTGTCAAAACCTAGCAGTTAAACCCTTGCTTCCTGATCATAAGGAGTTTTAAAAACTCGGCCCCATAGACAATTCTGAGATGGAAAAGAAACAATAACAATCATTTTTTAAATCAAACAAGACAAAAGAAAAATGCAGACCTGCCACTCTATGAAATCTAAAAAAAAGGATCTCAGGGGACAAAAAATCGGAATTCGGTGGAAAAAAAAACGGGACCAACGACAAATGAGTCCAGGGTAGGGCTGGATCCTGCTCGTCAAATTTGAGAGTGGCAATTCGCGATTCAGTCGGCTTCAATGAATCGCGAGTACGCGAGCGCTCGTGGGGCTGTGGCGGAACGCTGACTGAAACGGAACAGTGTCATATCAACGCCTCTTGGCGAGCGCGAGTCCCAGCTTGCTGTTCCGCCATCCTCTCCGCCCCACACCCTTTGTTGCGCTGCTCTATCAACTGACCTCAATTAGTGACCCCCATAAATCCCCCCCCCCCAACCCCACCATTCCCTAAAACAATGGCTCCATAAAATTCCTTCTGTCTATTGGTTGGACCCCGTTCATTTTGTTTTAATAGGGGGGTTGGACTATACCATCTTTTGTAAAATAAGGGGAGCCATACCAAGTGTTCCGTTCCGTTCTTGCGCTCGTGACTCGACTCAGCAGTAGGTTAAACAAGCCACAAGGTGGTGACAGCGACAGGGGAGTGAATCGGGAATCGTTTGGCGATACTGTTCCGCTGAAGTGAATCGTGAATCGCGTTCCGCAGGAAAGAGTGACGATTCAGTTCCGTTCTCGCGCTCGTGACCCAGCCCTAGTCCAGGGTGACTACCAAGCTGACTAAAAAATTTTCCAGGGGTTTCCATAAATGATATATTATATAAATGTACGTGTAAACTTGTATGCCCTTTGTGTGTGTGCGTGTGTGTGTGTTTGTGCGCGTAAGTGTGTGTGTTTGTGTGTGTGTGTGTTTTAAACATTATTTTTTAAAATCTTGAAGTATCACGTCAAGCACTCCTTTCCTATTCCAAGTGCCCCCCCCCGATAAGTCCTGATGGACGCTTCCACCAGTGTGCATGAACTTAAGTTGACCCCGTCAATGGACCATCCCCGGCTAGCGCGAAACTCGTACCCCAAGCTGAATTCATGTCACGTGATGAGAACGCGTGATTAAAACAGTTTTACTGACGGGTCTTGATGACGGGCCCGACCAACCAAAACTCGGACAAAGCTTGTTTTGAAAGTAACAGCAAAACCACGTATAACATTGATCATTTGTATGTCGCAATTGAAACAGCTATCTGGCCATCATCGGAAAATTCTGAGTGGAAACAAAAGCGAAAGTAGATCTTGAGAATGTCCTAGGTTGGAATGTCAAATTGATACAGCTTCCGTTATAGTTGAAAATATGTGCGAGCAAAGATCAAACACAACTGTGGGCGAGTCAACTACTAAATCCAGCATCGATATTTCGAAAAATAGTGCTCGGGTTCCTACCAACAAAAAGTTTAACATGTGCTTCCCGCGATAGAGTAGAGGAGGGCAGAGTAAGTTTTTAGAAAAATCGGGCGCAACAGACTGAACGAAAAAAATCGGGATACACGCGATAGAAATCAGGATGCTTGAGGTTTGGGGCAAAAAAATTGGGATATCCCGACTAAACTGGGACGAGTGGCTGGTCTGATAACGTAACTTTATGCATATGCTATGGTAAAATGTGTATTCATGAAACGTAAAAATGCACTTTTATTCCATTGCCAGCTTTTTAATTCTACCGAAGAGCCCAAGACAGTCTCAGGAGAGGCAGAGAAAGGGTTAATAAAGAATACAATCTACAGAACAATACTAACCAAAGTCTCAAAGCCCATTTGCTCTGCTACAATCAGGCTGTTTCTAAGTGCTGTCATGAGCCAGTTGTCATGCTCCCAAGGATTAACAGCGTGGAGACTCTGATTCTGACCCGATCTGGCCTCTGTGATGCTCATATTCACCTCCATGTTTAGACAGTGCTGATCTGCAAAAATAAATACCAATTGACAAATCTCATTCACAAGTATGCACCCCCCAATGTCTATTCATTTGACAAATATGTCACAAAAGAATATATTTTTTTACAGTATCCTTCTCTATACACTTCTTATTTTGTTGGTTTTGATCTTGCACCACAGTCCACAGTGTCTGCCTTGCCTATTATATGAAAGAAACCCAGGTCACTAATAACAATTATAGAAAGCGACAAATGCAGAATTCTATGACACTTGACACGACATTTTAAGGGCTTTGAACATATTGCTTTCAGTGGAAAGTAGGAAGATAGAGAAGGCAAACAAGGCAGGGTCAGACCCAGAGAAACTTAATTTAGAAAATCTGAACAGATAGTTATTTAGAGCATCCAAACAGGGAAAAGGGACGAAAAACCATGATTGCCAAAGTCTGTTTCAGATCTTGCACATTATAAGTCTTCCCAACAGCCCTTCTTGTGACATTCTTGTTCTAGAATTTTCTTGCTTCCAGTCCAACCTCATTCACCGGAAGGCTGTTGCGGCCACTGGCACTCAAACTCAAAAGGAAAAAAAGCTAAAGGAGTAGAATTTTATATTAAAGTAATGAAGCAAGCAACAACAATAACAAAGCCAAAATCTAAAAAAGGTAAAATTTTACTTTCGCTCACCCTCATGCAGAGGCACTGCTTCTGGGGGGCTAAACTACCATATTTTTGGCTGAAAGAACACATGGTCACTTATCCTCACAAATCCATTGTTGTCAAAAAAGTATCAAACCTAATTCAAATTGCAAAACGTAAAACTATGGTGAAATACAGGGGGCTATGATGCCCCTGAGACCCCCCATAAATTTTTTTAAAGTCAGGAGGGCATGACACCCCCCCCCCCCCCCCCCCCCCCAGGTTGTAAGATCATAATATGAAATATCACTTGCAATTGGGCCCATTGTAAAAATAGTTACATTAAAAAATCACATGTCTCCCACTAATAAACTCATAAATGGGGGGCTCTCGAGGCCTAGAGGTTAAGGTGTTGGCCTCTCATTCAAAAGTACCCGGGTTCGAATCCGGGTAGCCGCCGACCGAAAAATTTTCTTCTCTAAATTTGTCTCCTTTCACCTCATTTCCTGCTCTCTAGCAATGTTCTGTCGTCTGCTTTCGTCTCCTCTTTCTGCCCCCACCCCCTCACCTCCTTTGCCCCTTCCTCTGGGCTCCTGATTATGTCTGCAGCCTTTGTACTGCTACTCCTTCGCTTCTCCTTACTGCTGTCTTTCAGCCACACCCCTGATCTTCTGGTAGGAAAGATCTACACCTAACCTTCTCGGACAAGGGCGAAAAATCTCGGAGGACCCGTGAGCAAGTTGCGCACGCTAAGTGGTCTAAAATCGAAAGACACTTTACAAAAAAAAAAAACAACCTCATAAATGAACTAAATTTGGCGTGATATACAGTGGAGCCCGCTTAAAGTGAACTCTTTGGGACAAGATGAAGGTGTTCACTTTATCCAAGGTTCAGTTTAACCATTTTGGGAGGGTGGAGGCCTAGAAACAGTAGCTACGCACAGTGATGGGTCTATGGTGGAGGTGGGGTGGGGGAACAACACAGCTGGCGAGCCTAGACTATTTAAGCTCTTTCTTTCTGATAGCCGTCACCAACGCCGAGCTGGGATTTTGTCTGCCGATGCCCGAGGCAAAGAATTTTATTTTCACAGCATGGCGACAGTGACCCGGCCGGTCCGTTCTTCGCTTTCACTCATTTTGGGCGTTCACTTTATCTGATTTCCCCATGACATCGGTTAATTTTATCCACTACTTTTTTTACTAAAAACAAATAGTGTTTCAATCGAGACCACAGCCACAGAATATCGTTCACTCTTACCGATTCTTCAAATAAAGCGTGTTCACTTTAGACGGACTCAACTGTATAAATGAATGAACAGTTTTGACACAAAGCATGACAAATGCCATTTTCGAAGTTTGGCCGAGACTAATCCTCATATCTAGAAAGGTGAGGCACACATTCGAGAGACAACTTTTCTTTTCACAAAATCTAGTGAGGTTTTTCCTCTTTTAACCACAAACGAAAGTTACAATTTTCTTAGAAAACAACGCGATTAAAGCAGTTAGACCTTTTTGACAAACCGTCATATATCCTATACACGCCAAGTAAGTTCATTCCTTGAGTCATATTGAGGGCCGCCAATAAAAAATGGTAAGTCATGTTTTTCAAATTTTACAGGAGAGACAAAAAACATATTTTCTTGAAGCGTATTGTGTGGCAAAACTTTATTTTCATAAGGGAGCCCACAAATGCCATGACTGACATAAGGCTCCCTTATGAAAATTAAGTTTTTGTCATTTTTTTTCTTTGGACCTAACAAAATGAAGCAATTCTGTGAGGGTACTCTCTCGACTTATTGATTTCAGGAAAGGGTGGTAGACTCTTTGGAGTGGTCTGTATGATTCAAAAGAGATGAAAACACCAGTAGAGGAACTAATAACTTGGAAATAGACTGAACTTTTAGAATAGCACCATCTCTTTCTTCGAAGAAAATGATACTGTGACAGTTCCTCATCAGATGCAACTATTCCATGTTTCCGGAGTATCGATGTGAACTGATCGTCAAATGCATCGGCTTTATATTACGTTAAAGGCATTTCATCAATGTCCATAGAATTAAATTTTTAGTTGGTCTGGGCTTACTTTGAGATACACACGTGACATACAATTTCGGCATTTGGAAAAGTGTTGGAGGTACTGCTAGACGAGGGCCTCTTCTGGGTTGTATGTTCTATTTCGTACATATTCAGGCCAATGCAAGGTACAGCTATAAAATCAGTGACATCCTCTACCTTCAATTTATTAAGCAAACTCGCCACCCAGGATTTGTTTTCTCAATGTCTTTGGGAAATTTGTTGACCGTCACCTTTTGATAACCAGGCTGATTTCTATCCAGATCTACAATTATTGTACACAGAACATTTCTTCCCATGTTTAAGTAAAGTGTAGTTCAAATTACTTTCATTCTAAGAACTCGCATTCTTTAACTATTTTCATCCTTCACAGCAGAATTCAATTCGTACTACATCATGTTGTAATAGAAAAGAAAGTACGTGAAACAACAGAAAATATTACAATTATAGTCCTGGTAGAAACACTGCATCGCTGAGTAAGATAACGAGACCATGTATGTGTGTTAAATTTTGTTGGTTCAAAATTATATTTTCTGTAATCACCGCTTTTCAATGAAACTATAAAATAAAAGTATCTAGCCTGTTGGCTCCCCGGACTCCTCGCCATCTTGATGAAGAGCAGAGGTTGAAATAAACAGAGCTAGTTCCAGCAGCTACTTAATCCCACAATGAAAGAAAGCACCA